ACAACCTATTTTCTCCCTAACACTTTATGTCCATAGCATGCTTATGAATGGACTAGGTCAGAGATGGCATAGCTGTTGCCCTCCTGCTGTTATGCAGACATTGCTAATCAATCACAGCACTCTTCCCTATAACCAGGAGCTAGTCTCAGACACAATGTTCCATGTAACCACCAGTCTATTAAAATAGACACTCAAGATGAAAGTTATTTGCCTTCTCTGTTCTAGGTTCCTTTTGTGTTTCTCATTTTCCTTTTCTTTTTCATTAAAATTTGGTTCTTTCCCTTTTAGTTACAAATATATGATAGGTATAATACAGGAAAGAATATATATTGCCGTCTTTTAATTGAGCCAGCAATTATTCCCCGAGTGACAGCCACCAAAAACATGTACCTCAGGGTTCTTAATTTGAGGTCCAGTGGCCTTTAAGGAATCCATGGGTAAAATTAAGGGATCCATGAACTTGGATGGGAAAAAAATACATTTTTTATTTAAACCTTTAACTGAAATTGAGTATTTCTTTTGATGATGACTGTAAGCAATAAATCATAAGACTTTCTATTAGTACCTGTAACTCTGTCATTAATAAAATTACAGGCATTGTTACATCGCAAGTCAGTTGTTGTAAATGTCTCAAAATACCATTTATATTCATCACTACCTCAAAATATCTACTCTTAGATATTCAGTTACCTCTAGATCTATTTAAGGCTTTAATAAAGAAGCCCAAGTCATTATATCACACATTAGACTTTAAAAATAGTTTGGTAACACTATTTAAGTATTTAAATTAGCATTAACTTAAATAGTATTTAAGTTTGTTGTGTAATCCTATGTATCTTATTTTACGCATTTATAAACACGACGTTGAGAAGGAGTCAAAACTTCACCAGGCTGCCAAAGGGATCTACGGCATAAAAAGTCTAAGAACTCCTGTTTGCACATCAATGTCATCATAGGTAACTGTTACTGAACACTTACCATGTGGCTGGCATTGTTCTAGGATTTGATAAGAATGACCTCCACAGCCCCACTATGGAGCAGGTAGTATTACTATCCCCATCCTACAGATTAGGACACTGAGACCCAGAAAGGTGAATTAAAAAGCTAAGGTCTCAGGTAAACAGTAGAGCTAGGAAATAAATGCAGGCTCTCTGGCCCCAAGCATGAACCATCAGCCATCATCATGAAATTGACAGTATTACCCATCCAGAGGGGACTGAGAGAGGGGCGGTTCGTTACTATCGTGCCTCATTGGGTGGTAGCAGTAAGGTGGCGCCAACATGTCTTGAGCAATCTAGAACACAGTCTTAACCACCAGGCGTTACTAGGTTCCATATCTCATTGCCTTTGAATTTACAAGCCACGGATGGGGCTTTATCATTTTAGTACAGACTTAAAAGCAGATAAACAGGGGCTTTATCTTTTATATACAGACTTGTAAAATGCTTTGGAATTTACCCTTTGGACCCCGGAAGGCTTGCACTTAGTAACTAAGAATTTGTGTGTAGGCATGCAAAGCTGCGGCAAATCGATCCCAATGGCAGAAATGTGAGGAGGCTGCGACAGAGCTGAGACAAACTGTATTTGGAATCAGAAGACCTGGCTTACAGTACAGGTTCAGCACTAACTAGTTAACCTCTCCCAGCCTCAGTTTTTACCTATTCAATATAGAAAAGAAGACATATATGAAGACTAAATGAAGGCATACATGTAAAAGGGCTTACTTTCCAAATGTTGGTAAATGTACATTTAGGTTTTAATATAAAGTACTTTTGACACTTCTGACACAGTGACCGGCACACTGTAGTCACACAATAAATTATAAGAAGGATTTAAGGAAATACATTATAAGAAGGTTTAAGGGGGGAAAAAAAAGCCTGACCCTTCAGAACTATTCAAAAGCAGACTGGATAGCTTCTTCGGGAGCTGTCATACAGTGTCAGGCAAGAAGCAGAATGTTGAGATGCTTGTTTGGGGTTTCCTGCCCACACACAAGTCTCTGATGCACTCAAGACTTGGAATTCACTAACAGGTGTGTACTTTGCAATAGGAAGCAACCGGCCTGGGGATATTTGTGTATTTCTATTTTCCCTTTCAACACTCAACAAGGGAGGAGTGGAAAAGTCAGGTGTGACATGCCATCTTCCCCTGGGAACCTTAGCCAGTGATAGTTCAGAAGGAAACAGACAACTTTGATTCCATTTATTCATCTGGGACACACTTATGCTAAAAAATTTACTCATTGTTTATTTGAAATTCAAGTTGAAATTTAAGTGGGCATCCTGGAGGAGAGAAATAACTTGATTGCCAAAGTACCATCTCCAAAAAATAGAATAATGAAATAGCAGGTGCCAGATTACAGCAAAACAAAACAAAACAAACAAACAAAAAANGGAAAACACAGCATAAATCTAAAGCAAGGAAATGAGACGTTAGAAAGACAAGGGTAGGAAAATAAAAGCACCAGAAATGAAGTTAAAATAAAAACACATATCACAAAGTTCTATAGGTGAACATGGGTTGTTAAAGAAAGTCAATAGCTCAACAAATAAAACTTCTCATGCAAGTTCTTATGTAAATTTAAACCTGGCACTGGGTCACATTTCTCATAGCCCTAGCAAGGTGGGAAGAGGTCCAGATGTAGAACCGAAAGCCCTGTCTTCCTTCTGAGGACCCAAGGGAGCCAAGAAATGCTCAGACCCTTTTCGAAATTACTTAGTGGCTGACGGGAGGCCAACAGAAAATGGCATTGTTCAGAGCCCGGCACACAGAAGACACCCCACAAATAGTTATTAAGAAATAACTGGAGAAGGTCCCATCCCCATGACAATATTTACTGGGGTGAGAAGGCTGGAAAGCACCACCTACTTTAGCAAAACTATTTGCTGTGGTTGTTTCACAAAATCCAAAGTACAGAAATAACGAGAAAAGGTAGAGCTCTAATAAAATGCCTCCCCCTTCCTTTCCACCCTGGAGTAGAGGGCCACAGAGACGTGTCCGGGAAAAAACACATCTGGGATCTATTGTCCTAAAGGCCACATACTACAGGCTTGCTTCCCCTTTTTTCTCTCATTGTCTCACCTTCTCTTTCTGTTCTCTACAGTCGTAAATAATAACATGGTGCTCACAGGGTAGTTTATATGTTTTCAAATCCACACTGAAGACACCAAAGGACAGTGTGCTGCTTGTCACTCTCCTATTCGTATCCTTGACAGCTTCTGACTTCCAGACACTGAATATGGGGAAGGCTACTGGTTTCTCAACAAAATGGAAGAAAGCCCTAGATAACCCATAATCACCAAAAGGTGGTGGCAACTGCTATATATGTTGGCAATGCCTACCATACCTAAAGTTTTTAATCAAAGAGTTAATCTGTATGTATTTGGAATCATAGCGCTCAAATGGTGTTAAATTGCTTGAAATAAAATAACAACAAATGAATCATTAAGTAAATAAAATATATAGATGCAAAAAAATAACAGATAAAATTTAAAATAAAGCTACAAAACACAATAAATCTCACATTTACGAGTTGCAGCAGTGATTTAAAGGGGAAAACAAGTATCTTTGGCTTAATGTAAAAGTGGCAGTAATACTAGTGATGAGAATGTCGTGGCAGGTAATCGTGGGTGGTAAAAGGAAATCAATAATAAAAGTAGCTAAAATGTATTGATCCTTCCCCAATTCTATGTGATTTCCATGAAGGGATTTGTTTAATTCTTGCTACAACCCTGAGAAGAAGGTACCATAATCCTTATTTTAGAGATGAGAACACCGATGGAGAGGTGAAGCAACCCTCCTGAGGCTTGGCACCCAGCTAGGCGGTACCACACAGAGACACGACTCTCATCTACTCTAGAACTTTTCTCAGGAAGGAGCGAAGAGATCTGTGTTTCTGTCTTAGCAGTAAGACTGCATGACACATCGGCAAGTCGGTCAGTCTCACTCTGTAGGCCTCAGTCTTCTTTATGTATGAAATAAAGATGAGACTGGAGGACCTCCAGGGTTCTGCTGGGATTGTATTCATATGATTCCTGAAACAGGTGTAGGGATGTCAGGAGGTCACAGCTGCATTTTTCGTCAAGTTTCTGTATCACTCGTTCGGGTGTCAATTTTATACAACTTTCTATATTATGCCCATTTGACTATATAAAAACAGGGGTAATGATGATTACCATCTACTTTTTCAAAGATAAACAGTATGGATAAAAGAAAATTCAGGTGTGTTGGAACAATTCAACATGAAGTATTTTTCAGAGTCACCTTAGGTTTGCATAAATGACTGATGATTGTACTTGGCTAATAGGGCCATCTTGGTTAGCCAGCTTAGTTGTACAATATCATCCCTAGATATGCACACCAAGCACTATTAACACCGAAGAGTTACACAAGGGCTGTGCACAACTTCTAGTTAATCAAATCATGTTTTCTTTTCTTTCTTTTACTATACAAGAGAGGATTTTGCTTCCATCTATTGTGGTCCATCAAGGGTTTCAAATTCTTTCAGTAGAAAACTGCGAGGTTATATTTGCCAGGCAAAACTGTCAGGTACTCACTCCTTAGTGGACTTCTATTCTCCAGGGTAGCAAACCCTATTAGCTAACAAACCATTCTCACCCCCTTTCTTCCTTGACCCTTTCCATTGCAGCGGCGGGCCAGCCAAATATTTGCTTTCCCAGCCTCCTTTGTATTTAGGGATAATCATATAACCCGGGCTTTGGGGAAAGATATTTTTGTTCCTGANATATCTGAAAATGCTAGAGATAAACTGGAGAATGAACCAAAGGATTAAGTACCTTAGAAGAAGCTCATGTTTGATTGTTTTTAGATGCAAAAGAGAATTTTCTTCTTCTTCAAATTTGAAAATTTCCACTGTACTTTTGGATTCTGGGTGGTTTACAACAAAGAGATAAACCATGTCATCTAAAAAAGGGAAAGAACAGAGTTAATTTACAAGATATAACCAGAGGACCTCTGGGCAGACACTGACATTTAAATACCACGGGCAAGGAAAGGTTGAATGTCTAAGCTGTTAGGCGACCGAACAGATCATTCTTTTTCCCTGTCTTTCCCATCACTGTTTGTCTGGTGTTATTTCTGATCACTGGTCCCCTGACCTTTAAGGAAGAGTGCTTCCCACTCCACATACAGAATTCATGAATAATCTGTTTATAGTTTAATTCAGAAATATAGCTCCCTTTTAATGCAATGATCACAGGTATATGAAAAGGTTATGAAAGCTAAACATGCAGGTCTTAACTGTTAGAAATTTCAAAATGTAGCATAACTTACTGTTAGCTGAAGAGGCAAATGATCAACTTATTTGTATGAAGAATACAGATATAATTTATTAGTTAATTGTTCTTCTCTTACTACAGATATGATCCAAATCTAGTTTCCACAGTCATTTACAAACCATTATAAATTTCTTAATGTCGGTAGCTCATCATTTCTTACCGCTGTCTATGAAAGTGCTGATACCATGTGGATTAAATGAAGCCAAATTAAACCCACGGCTGATTCTTAATTCCAATGCCCTCGGGTTTTCTTCGTTTAGATCCATTATTAGTATTCCTCCATGCTTATCTGGTGCAAAACTGTGCAATCCTGGATATCTTAGACCCTTTTCAAAACAGAGGAAAAGTTAAATATAAAGGCTTAAGTATTTTTGTGGACTATAAATAAATGATACAGACTTTGGTTAAAGGTAGTTGCTTAAAGCTACAGACATAAACAAAGCAGCAAGTAAACAATAGAAAAAATAATAAAGGTGAACAATAACTGATTTTTTTAGTTGAGGCGAAAGACAAGAGATTTAGTTCCTTTAGAGAGTAACCAGGAGGTTAGTGGACTGGGAAATACCAGGTGGAGTTGAGGGTGGGGATAAGTGAAAGTTTGTCTACTGACTGTTGACCTGAGAAACCCACAGCCTACACTTGCCTTCTACAAAAGCAGGAATCTTGGTAAACAGAGTCAGTCAAAGCTCCCCTCCTTGTCTCACACCCCGTATCTAATCCATCAGCAAATCCTGTTGACTTTACCTTGAAAGCATATCCCTTCATAAGCATGTGAACATTTTTCACCACTTCCTTAATAACTGCCCTGGCCCAAACCACCACCACGATTATGGCAATAGCCTCCTAACTGGCCTTTCTGCTTCTGTGCTTAAACCCCCTACAGAAATCTAGTCTCACAAGAGTATCCACATTTTGTCAGATGATGTCACATCTCTGATCAAAACTCCCATCTCATTCAAAGTGAAAATTCCTACAACAGCCTAAAGACCCGATGTGCTCTGCCCCGTTCCACCTCCTTCACCCTCCCCCACCCCAGACACCCCATCTCTGTCTGTGCCCTCATCTTCTGTTCCTCTCGTCCTCACTCATGTTGCTTTGGCCGTTCTGGCTTCCTGGATGTTGTTCAAACAAACCAAGCACGTTCTCACTTGGGGGCTTTTATACACACAGTTTCCTCTGCCTACGAATGCTTTCCCCCCTCAGAGACCTGGGGCTCCTTCCCTCAATTCCTTTCTACCTGTGCCAAACGTCACTTATTGCCATTTGACAAATATACGTGTTTACACATATATAGATGGCAGCCTGACTGTCACTTGCCATTGCCCCTCCTTACTTTATTTTTTGTTAAAGCGCTGCCACTATGTGACATAGATTCGTTCTCTCCTTAGTGGAACACGAGTCAGGAATTTGTCTCATTTGTTCAGTGCTAGATGCCAGGGCCTGGAATGGCATATAGTCTGTCTTTCTCCCACTGATTCCAAATGTCACCTTTATCATGCACTAGATCCCTGTTTACAGAGTGGTGTGTTTGGGGACTCATGCCTATTCCTGGGCCCAAATGCCACTTTTTAATTATTATAGCTATATTTATAAGATATGAGATATAGATAGACAGATAGGCTGATATGGATATATATGTATATGTGTATGTATATGTGTATGTATGTATGTATGTGTATATGTATGTATGTATGTATAGCAAGTCAGTCCCCATATCCCACACTTATTGCTTTACCTTTATATAATAATCTTTAATATTTCTGTTTATTTTTTTTCTGTATAAACTTTGGAAATTAAGTTGCTGTTCCAGATGGAACCTTATTATTGCTAATAACATTATTACTATTACATTTTCTATTTGGTTTTTCCTAGAGCATGGGAAAGCCATTGAGTTTTATATATTCATTTTGAATCCACCATTTCACTGAACTCTC